GCATCTGTGCCCATAGGTAAGTTTCCCTAGTGATGTGTTAAGACCAAATATATACATATATATATACATATATATATATAGGTATGTACATACTTTGTTGAGAAATGGATTCCGCCCTTTGTCCTTGTTTTTTGAGTAAGGGTTCCCCTTTAAACTCCACCGACCAAAAAAGGCTGTCCTTATTTTCCCATGGAAATCCACCGGGCATCTGAGTATATATCTAAACAGCTCACAAAACCACCTTTCGGGCCAGAAGTTTGTTGGGGCCTCCTTTGGAGAATTCCAAAGGCCCTGCGAATTCTTCAGTTGGGCAGCGCGTCTTTCTAAGTAAACGAATCGGAGCCTCCAAAATGGGTTGGCAAGCCGTTTTGCTTTTGGTTTCACTCCGCAAGGGGCACCTTCCTTTGGGTTGCGCTTGAACACCCGTGAAAGGAGTAGCAACACCAACTAAAGACACAGCCGTTTGTCGTCCATTTGGGAAATGGTTGAAATGATGGCCCTCCTGGCCGAGCTCCCCTTCCGATTCAGGGGATCATTGGACAAGCCTATGAAGTCCCTCAGACAATTCCTGAACTTGGGATCACGTTGCCATGAAACCGCCGTTCCGTCGGAAGACCTGCAAAAGGAAACCTGTCCATTTCTTAGGGGGTTTGAGGCAACCCAATTCCCCAGTCAAGCGGCCCAAAGGAAACGCAATCCCTTTTCAATGAAAAATCAATCGACCCATTCGCTAAAACCAAGCCCAACCGACCACGGTCCAAACCAGGAACCTCCCTTCCCAACAAAGCCAGGGTGTTCTTCTTTCCCATGGAAATCCACTGAAAGGCTGAGGTGAAGCAACATTGCCACCAAGAATGCGATCTGTGATTTGGGTTACGCAAGAAAATTCCCGCTTTCAGTCGAACCTATAGATGGAGCATGGGAATTGCCAGCTAGCTACTTGCTGGTCTCAGGGAATGATCCATACTATGCTTGCTTGCTTGCTTGCTTGCTTGCTTGCTTGCTTTCTTTCTTTCATTCATTCTTTCTTGCTTTCTTTCTTTCTTTCTTTCTTTCTTTCTTTCTTTCTTTCTTTCTTTCATTCTCTCTCTGTCTCGTGCGATCTGCTTCCTGTGCAGGGCCAGGACGCGAGCGGCAACTGGGGTGAGCTTTGGCGCGCCACGGGGGACAAGGGGGATGTGTGGCAGCAGGCGGGGCTTTGGGGCTTCGGGGGGCTTCGGCGTGGGACCTTTCTGCACAGTAAGCCTTTGATGACCCCCAATTTGTAAGCGCCTCAAGTATCCCCACCCCCCCAATAAATCAGCTGCGCCTATAGAGGCCCCGTGCGAACTTGAGTGAGTGAGTGAGTGTGTAAGTGCCCTAAGTGGGTTGCATGCAGGACTTGCTTACCAGGCGTTTTCTATTAAATGGGACAGGTTGGACAGCAAGTAACTTGACCACCAATTGCCGAAGAGTTGAGTCACAAAAAGCATCTCCCGACCCATCATGTGTTAGCGGCTAGCAATCCTGACCGGGTATTTCGGGTGTGGGAGAACCCTGTGGATAGTTGGAACCAAACGCAAGCCACGCGACCCGAAATCCATTTGAGTTCGTAGGACCATAATTCCTGGACAAACCAAAGAGGACCTTAGCGACAACTCATGGTTGCTGTTGGGAAACATATTACATGTTTGCTTGTTGTGGTTCAGTGGGAAATCCCGACTTCACTGCTATGTTTTTTTGGCTCCCCTTCCAACGCCAACCAAGAACTAAATTATGTGGGTCCTTTTTAGGACCTTTTGGAACATCCAGGGTTCAGAGCACCTGTGAACTTGCCAAGGAAAACTCTCCGTCACGGGAATCAAGCACATGGGTATGTATTGTGTGCGGTGCCCCCAAAATGGCGGCTTCTCTTTTGGTTTCCCTTTAAAACATTGTATATATTTTTTTTGGGGGGCCTAAGTCCGTTAAACGAATGGTCTTGGGACCCATTTGGACGACGACAATCCTGAACGAGAAACGTTGCGGCGGTTATACTAGCTATTTTGATGGCGGTAACTGAGCCCCAGGGCATTGGGCAGCCGGGCATTGGTAGGGCATTGGTAGGGCATTGGTCTTACAGAACGGTCGAGTTCGTTCAGGCGCTGGTGGCAGTGCCCCCGGCCATGACCCTTGTGCGGCTGGATGGCGTGGTGGGCCCTGATTGGAGGAGACGAGAGCAGCTCTTAGCAGCTTTCCCTGGACTGAGACTCCAAATCAGAAAATGAGGTTGTTTTCCTTCTAGGTCCCCCAGTGGTGCCAACTTTTACAAACTTTTTGTGGGGGAGGGTTCCCCTACTAAGATAGACTACAGAAAAAGGGTACCCTTATTCTAACCCCTCTACTGGAGGACCTAGTATGTTGGGGGGTGACTTTGACCATGGTAACGTCATGGTTTCTCAGCTTTCCTCAAATAGAGCTGGAGCCTTGAAAGACAACCAGCCACACCCAGCCCAGTTCGCCACCGGAACTCAGGTTGCCATCGATGGCTTGGAGTGGGTTGGGGAGTGCAACCGGCTTTTGTAGAGGGTAAACTTCCCACACCACCAAGCTCCAAACCACCCATAGAAGGCGGGCTTCTGTTTTCTTCCGCGCACCCTGAGTCCCATGTAGAAAAACCATCCGTTGCACTTCTTGAAGATCAACGTGATTATCCCTAGGGCTAATCCCAGATAATCAAAATTACAGACAATTAAATTTAGATGAGACTCCTTAGGTGATTTAATCATCGTCGGTGCAACATTAAACCCCATTGGTTTAACGGTGGTCTCAATTTCGGACCCAGGCCTGTTGTTACGCAGATCAACATTGAACCCAAAGCCCATCGTTCTAAGAGGAACCACGTTTTCAGGGGCACTATGTGAATTTGCAGGGGAGTATCATCAATTTGAAAGGTGTGTGTTTTGACCGTCACTCGCGAGTTGCACGTATTAATTCGATCGGCTGAGCCGATGGTGTCTTAGGAAAACTGGTTGGAAGCAGAATAACTTTCTCCAACGGTCAAAGCGGTTTTCCTTTTGGTTTCCATTGAACATCACATTAAAAAGGGGTGCCTTCCCCCCAAAATGGAACCACCCCCACTCTGTGAAACCAACAGTCCGAAGGGCTGTGTCATGTCGACCAACGAATGGAATTAAGGTCAAAATGAATCGTACATGGCCGCCTTTTCTTGAACATACCATTCCCGGGTTTATTCTATAGGGAAAACTAAGGGACCCCCCCCTGCGACTGGGCTTTTTCAGCAAATTGAATAGGTTGCTTTCAAGCTTGTGGAGAATCGGGTTCGGCCACTGCCATCCCCAAAGTGACAAAGTCATGGAATGCATTACCCGCATTGAAATATCACGGCGTTCTCAGCTTCCCCGAGAGCCTGGTGGATCCGGATCAAAGTCCCAAGCCAAGGGCCAGAGACCGCAAAACCAGAGACGCCCAGAAACATAGGTGTCCTTTTTGGTTGTTTTGGTAGAAAAATAGAGGGCGATTCTTGGTTTACCTGGTGGTTGAATCATCTACCAGGGAAACCCATCTATTTCCCCTAAAAGGACACCTATGCCCAGAAAGGTCCGCTTTCCTTGAGATACTCTCTCCGGAGGAGCGACATGGCTGTGGATGAGATGACGGTCATCACCACCACCACGACCACCACCACCACGACCACTACCACGCCCGGGCCCGCGACCGGAATCGAGGCGAGTGTTTAAACCACTCAACTGTTTAAGGAACCTCCTTCCAAACAGGTGTTTTCCTTTTCGATTTTGTGGAATCAACCTGTTGGCTTCCCTTTTCAGGGATACCGGAAACTCGGCTCCTTTAGATGTTGTGGAATCCATTTGTCGGCGTTTTCGATGTTTGATGGAAACGTCGGCAGGCGATCAGCTGCGACTTTGAGACGGACAAGTGCGGCTGGACCGACACGTCCAGCAAGAAGTGGCTCGGCAGAGAGGGCCAGGCATCGGGATCCAGGGTTGCACTTTTTGACTACCCCAAGACAGACTTAAACCCAGGGGTTCCCCTTTTGGGGGTAATGAGCCATTCCTGGGTTTAAGCCCCTGGCTCTTGGGATCTATAGTCAAATCTCTTGCCATGTTCCATGAGGTTTGGGTGAATCCCATGGGGGTCCGACCCGAACCCCCTTCCCAAGGCCCGAGGTTAGGGTAGCGGAAGCAGATGTCCGGGTTGACTGCCATGGGTTTAGGCCAAGTACTGGATGTCCCTGCCAGGTTGCAAGCCAGCACTTGAGCCACAAAATTGTGGGAGTGGTAGTCGTCATGAAAGCGGAGCTCAACAAACATGTCTTTTGAGACCTAGTTCTTCTTTTCTTCCGTGCCCCCCCCCCCCCTCTTGGCCTGGTCGATTACGGTAGGGAGGTGTTTCCTGATGTTCCCTTCCCCGCCCCCAAGAATCATAGAAACTCACAGGGGTATTTGGGAAGATCGCCCATCCACTAATTTGGAATCTGACCATTGCTCAAGCGGGTTCCAGTTTGGTGGACAGGGTTCCAATCACTTCATTCCAGTTGCATCCCACGCCGGTCCCCTCTACAAGAGGCTAGGACAGGAGGCAGAGGGTCGGCGGATTTTGGGCAACTTGTCCACATCCATGCCTGTTGGGAAAAGGGACCTGGGTGTGGCTCAAATTTCAACAGCTAGGGTTACGCGGGTTTCGTCTTTGGTGGCACTTACCTGTGTTTGAGCCACAGCCACCTCCCCCTTGGTCCACAGGTGGAGCGAGAAGTCCGGTAGCACTCCCAGCTCCAGCACCGGGCCCAGCTCTGCCGACCAAGGCTTGGGGCTTGGGGCTTGGGGCATTGGGGGTGGGGGGGGGGGTTTTGGGAAGGACCGCTGGGTTTTTGGTGGGGAATTTCCGGACATGAGTTGCAGGTGCCGAAGAAAAGTCATCTGCCCCAATTTGGCAACTTATATGTAGGGCCTTGTTTTCTGGCCTTTGGAGGAAAGCAGTTTTTTTGGGTAGTGGGGGGGCTGAATTTCAGGATGCATTGTGCAGTTTCTTGGCTAGTCTTGTGGAACGGTGGGGGCTTAAGAGGCAGGGTGCCATGCTGGCTTCCTTCAAATGCCCTGTGCGTGTCTCAGGGTACTTTGCCAGACTTATGCCTCGATTTAGATTGGGGGGTGTCCCAATTTATCTAGAGAATCCGGATCATTGGGGGAGGGGGATTCCGCCCGCATCATCCAGCAGGCCGGTCGACTTCAGTGCGACAAAACTAAGTCAAGTCATCATAGCAGTATATCAGGCTTTCTTAAGCCCTTATTGCTCCTTTTGGGAATCAGACCCCCTTTTGGGTTGTACTTGGGCGTTTGATTCGCCAAGTCGGTTTGTTGTTAGTAACCGTTCGCTTGTAACCCACCTATAAGTCCCCCGTTAATGTTGGGTTAATATCTTGTTATCGTGGTTATATGGTATACCCTATACTCCATGCTTCCCTTGGTAGCCTCGGTTTGGGAGTAGCTTCGGTTTGGGAGTAGTTTCGGTTTGGGAGGAGCTTCGGTTTGGCAGCAACTTGGCCGAACATCCACTAGAACCGGGAACCCAAGGCTAGAGTCTCGACAACGAAGAGGCTGCCCCCACCTCAAAGCTGTAACCCCAGGTTGCCACGTCAAGATAGGGGGCAAGCCCCCCCCAAAAAAAGCAACAACAACGGGTTTTCCGTTGGCTTTCCTTTGGTTTTCCTTTGGCTTCCCCTTAAACAAAGGGCACTTCAAAGAGACAACTTTCGGAGGGCCCTAATTGTCGGGACAGCTTTATTAATCCGGGGTTCCCATCACGGACAAAAGACAAAACACCACTAGCACCCCCCCCCGATTTGTCCCGTTCCCAAAAGGAGGCAGTCCCTTCTTCACTCAGAGCACCGACTCAAACAAGACTCACTCGACTCACTAGTCCAATGCGTTCGGATCCGCCTGACATAGGCAGCGGGTACATCTTCACGGAGGCCAGCGGGCGAAACAGCGGCTACCCCCAGATCGAGTTCATCTTGGAGAGCCCCGGCTTCAGTGCGGGAAGTTCGGACCGCGCCCTCTACTTCTCCTACAGCAGCCTGGCAGAAAGAGACCCCTGATTTTCACATGGAACCTGAAGAACCGCTATTTTTGGAGGAACCTCCTTTTGGGGGACTCCCTTTCTGGGTCTCATTGTTAATTTGCAGGAGAGTATCAGAGCAACTTGCGTAGAGAACTTGTTCAAAGAAACTTGCTTGCAGAACTTGCTCAGAGAATAGAGTCGGATCATGCGCTTGGGTCGTGCTAGGAGGACAGGCTCTTGCATTATAGTGTGGTCAACCATGCTTTCGGGCCACCCGTCTTCTAGTTTCTTCTTCTTTATTTTTTCTTTTTCGGGGGGGGGGGGGGGAGGGTCCAGGCATCGTTCGGCTTTTCCATGTATAAAGCACGTTTTATATGTATGTATGTATAAATATATATATATATATATGTACATGTACCTGTGTGCACGTTTTTGAGGCGGCCCTGGGTCCAGTGGTGAAAAGGAACGACGTCACCGGGAAGTGTGCGCCGGAAAAAGAGAAGGTTCCTTGCATGGGGCCATTTCTTATGGTGGGTGAAGATGTTTTTGCCCATGTACTCATGGCCCGAAAACAGAGTGAAGCGTCCCATCGGTCATCTCTCTGACATTTCCTGACCCAGGTTGGAGCCGTTGGAAGAACCGATCCTCTTGTGTGGTCCCCGAATAACCCCCTTGGTGGATGTGTATATTTCCATTGGCTAGTTCAATTCTAAAGTTTTCTCACGTCTTTGAACTTTGATAGTGGTTTTCGGAAGACGACCACTCACAAAGATGTTAGGCCGTGCGCATTATTTTTGTTGTGAGTTACTTGGACTCCTTGTTTCACCCGCGAAGGGGTTTTGCTTAGGTCCAGACCGCCCATTTTCTCCTGGGGAGGGGCTCCAAAGCTCAGGCATGTACGGGAGCGGTATGGGCAGTTTGGCGCTCGAGTACAGTGCCTCTGGAGTTTGGACGCCCATCTGGGAGAAGTCAGGACGGCAGCCGGATGCAAAACCCGGGTACGACCTCAGTATCGGGTGGGGTGTTTTCGGGGGGGGGGGGGGGGTAGAGGGCCAGTTGTTCCGGAGCTGATGTTTGTGTTTTTCCTGTGTCTGTTTTGTGGTTTGGTTGGCATGGCTGTTCCCAGCCGTCTGGTTCCTTAGGTTCTTAGTGGTTTTTAGTTGCTAAATCTGAGGACAGTTTTGGGTTCCGCTTGTTTCCCCCATCTTTAGCCTGCCAATCGAATCGGTGGGAGCCAGCAAATGTTCGAGGATGACTCTTCCTTCTGGCTTTCAAGGGAAACCAGAAGTGAAGCAATCAATTTTTGGGTTGGGGGGGATAGGTGGAGTTTGACTCGTTTCCACCTTTTTTGAGGCGCCCCATTTTCAAACCCAGACGTTGCCGCAATTCGGATGGGGCAAGGGAAGATGAAAGGTCCTTCAGGGCAAACCGGTGAGTCAAGTGATGGTAGATGGTCAGCTCTCAACGTCTAGGTCTCCGCGCCAGAAGTGACCTACAGCTTCAGGTTTGGTACACCCGGCTTTTTCCACCCAAAAGGTTCTACCTCGGTCGGATCAGAATTGTGACACCCGCAAGGAGATCGATTTCTAAAGTAGTGTAGAAGAGAAGCCACTTGTGGAAGCCAACTGGATGATTTGGTCCCTTATTTCGTTGACCAAGATTTGTTTTTCTTTTTTTCTTCTCCCAACAAAAACATACTCCTTCTAATAGTTTACTCCGACAGAACAGCTTTTTGTTTCGCCGCACCCCCCCCATTCCAATGATTTAGGCCCTTAAACTCTACTGCTACTGGCTAGATCTTTAGACTTTTTAACATTTTGCTTGCCCCTTATATTTCCTTTTGACCTGTAAAAAAAAATCTACAGCGCCCAAGTAAAGTACCCTTGTTGGTTACCCAGAACCCAGCGGGCCCCCGTTTTTTCTTTTGGGGGAGATTCCATCCTTTTTTTCTCCCTTAGGATCAACAACCAAAAACGGGTGTCCCTGGATTCTGTACCACCCCCCCCCCCCCCATTCTAATGAATTTGGCCCGTAAAGTACTGTTACCCTAGACCTCCAGTGTGCCCCCGTTTCTTTTTGGAGAGACTCCGTCTTTCCGCCCAAACAAGGGTTCCCCCAGTGTCCTTGACCCCCTCCCTCCCTTTTCCCAAGTCTCGGGTTCAGCCTGGAGCTCCAAAACCGTGCTCGTTGTCTTTGGACAGACCAATATGGCGGGTCGAAAAAACTGAACCAATTTTTTTCAACTTGGCAGCTAGAAACCAAAGACTCGAACCTACGTGACCCCATTTGTTATAAATTTTGAGCCACGCTATATGCAGACCCTGGACAATTTGAAATCTTATGTTCGGCCGGCCCAGATGTGGGCCGAGATTGGATGGGAATGGCATTTTGTGAGTCGTGTTTTACACATTGTGGTTCAGTACTGTTGGCTTGCTTGAGCAAACCAACCAGATTCCCTCCCCGACTTGTCAATTTGGGAGCGGGAAAGTTAACCAATTGGCTTTTGCTTGTCAACTCTGATCACTATCTTGTTGTTAGTTTGCCCCTTTGCTCATGTGGCTTTTGATTTTGTCTTTTACATTTTTTGACTTTTGGCAGTGAATCGTATTTTTTTGTGTACCTTTTGGGCCAAGCTTTCCATGGGACAGCATGGGCTGCGTTTGCCGGCTTTTTAGTTTTTCATAGTTTCTGTTGGGTTGGCTGATAGAGTGCAAGTGGGGTGTCAAAATGTTCGGGGCCTCAAGATCTGGGTTCTGTTCGTCTCCCTTTAAACCAAGCAGTTTTCTCAATCAGCTTTGGCAGTCTTTGAAGGAAACCAAAAACACACCAAAAATGTTGGGGGTCCCTAAAACCAAGTCTGTTCAGGTAACCCTTCGGCCTCAGTTGGTGGTTTCGATTGGTGGGTGGGGGGATTTGAACCCCTCTTCTAGGTCCCCCAGTAGTGCCCTTTTACCCGTTTTTTGGGGAAGAATCCCTGATTCTAACCTCTCTACTGGAGGACCTAGTCTTTGTTACAAGAAAACCGACAGGAAGCCCGAAAAGCGCCCATTTTCGTGGGGTCCCGAAGCTGTGTCCATGCAGGAGACCAGGGCCAGGGCTGGCAAACCGCCGCAGTGCCCGTGCCCGGAGCCGCGGAGATGTTGCGCTTCAAGGGCGTCACAGGCGGATTCGGAGCTTCGGACTTCGGTGTCGCGCGGGCGTGCGGTTCTTTGAAACAGGGCTTCCTGAGGGCTCCTTAAACGATACATTTTCGCCCATTGACAAGGCAATGTTCAGGTGTATAATGTAAAGATCCCTGTTCCTTGTCTTCCTTCAGGAAGGAACAGGACAAGGACGGAGAAGGAAGACAAGGCAGAACCCCTGTTTCAAAGAACGTGCGTTTCGCACTTTGTGGGACTAGGTGCCCTTTTGGTTGATTTGGGTTGAAAAATAGAGGGCGATTCTTGGCTTACCTGGTGGTTCAATCAACTACCAGGGCCATCTATTTTCCCAAAAAGGACACCTATGCGGATGAGTGTCATGATTTTGGCTGGATCTTAGCGTCCAAGACTTGGTGGGTTGGGTGGGTTTCTGGTCTTTGGGGGGGAAGGGATGGACAGGCAGCTCTTACAAGTCCGACATGGCCATCGACGCGGTGGTTGCAACGGATGGGGGTGTGACCACGCCGCCGCCGCTCAGTGGGGAGCAGGCGGCGGAACGGGGGGTCCCGGGGTTCGACACGGGCGATGGTGGGAGCGGGGAAGGGACTGATGAGGTTCGAATCATAACCAACCACAGCCACTTTTCGGATTTGGACTGTTTTGATGGCTGCTCAAAAGACAAAAGGTTACTCTTTTTGGCAGCCAATCCACTTGGTCATCCAGGGGAATCATGCAGCTAGAGTTGTTTTCCAATTGCTGAGTTGGCTGGGCACTTGTGCACCATTTTTCTGTGGGTCTGTCCAAGAAATAGGAGCTGTCATGCCGTTGCTCAGAAGCGCGGATCTTCGATTTCTGGGACTGTCTTTTACTTTCTATGGGTCTGTCCGGCCAAGGTTGGGAGCGGTCATGAGTTGCGACAGATCCACTACAAATTGGGCTTAGAGTCTTCTTGTAAGGAAGGGAAGGTACTTGGATGTTCGATTCGCCAAGCTAAGAGGTTGGGACTCCCTAACAAAAGGTCAACCTCCTTATGGAGGGGACTCATAGGTGGGTTATAGCCTAGGTTACCAACAACTTACTAACTTAGCCCAGCAGTCAAGTAGGGTTTTTCGGAGCCTCCTGACCAAACTAGGGTTCGAGCCCCAGTAGAATACTGGTTGGCCCAATTTAGATGATGGAACTTAGGCAAATGGTGGACTCCTAACTGGGGATATCCAATTGAATCGGCTTGATCCCTTGATCCCAAATGATCCAAATGATCCAACTGCCCCCCCTCAAATGCCCTGCAAAACTGCACTTCTCAGGCCTTGTTTTGCAGTACCCAAACAGAAGCGAAAAGGACACCACCATTTTTGTTGGGGTCCCATTTGTTACACATATAATATGATCAGGCAAGTCTTTTTGCCACTTTTGTGGAAAAATGATCGACCCACCGGTAGTCAAGGATTCCTCTTTGAGGGGGTCGCCAATTTTCTCACAAAAGGTGGCAAAAAGACCCCCCTGAATATGATTAGATTATATGGATGTGTCGTTTCTTGCAGGTACCTGCATTTTTTTGATCCCAAAGGAAACCCAGCATTTGGGTTGTCCCCTAAAAAAGAAAGAAACTTGTCTTGGTTTCAACCACCGTTTGCATGGTTTCCCAAAGGGTGCCCCTTTTTCGGGTTTCAAACCCAAAAGACCACCTACCATGTGGGTCCAAACACCATTCACTGTGACCATTCGGCAGGCGATCCCTTGCGACTTCGACACCGACTTCTGCTCCTACTCGCAGACGGGGCAGAAGGCACGGCCGAGTTAGTGGTTCGTTTTTTAGGCTCGCTCCCGGAACTTCTGGACATTAAAACCACTTTTCGGGAGGATCACCCGTGGTAAAAACACTCAAGCGAGTGGATGAAATGCCACTGGTGAGTCGGGCCGGTTGTAACTAAACACACTTGGTTCGAACCATCCGGTTCTCCTTTTCGAGGGAAGCCAGGTCGTTCAAATATTTTTCGCTTGGGAGCCACTTTGCTTCAGCAAGAAAACCATGGCTTCCTTCAAAGGTAAAGCCGAAGGAGGTTGTAACAGGACTCATCTAATCAAAGGCTGAATGTATGCACAGCACATATGTGAACTGGTATGTCCCCTAGCTTATCGCTTGACTTGTTTGATTTTCAATTATGACTCATTTATGGGAATCCAGCCCCCAAAGAGCTTCAACATGGTCACATTCAAAGGAAGTTTAAAAGGAAACTTCCGTAGTCAAAGGAAGTTTAACAAGAAACTTCCGTAGTACTGGAACTAAATGAGCTAGCTGCTTTGACATATAGCTATGACAGGTAGCTAGCATGACAAATAGATAGCTTTGACATATAGCTAGCTTGACAGATAGATAGCTACCAGGCATGCAAATAGATAGATAGGCTTGCATGACAAATAGATAGCTTTGACATATAGCTAGCTTGACAGATAGATAGCTTTCCAATAGGCTTGCATGACAAATAGATAGCTTTGACATATAGCTAGCTTGACAGATAGATAGCTTTTAGGACATAGATAGCTTTGCTAGCTTTAGATACAGATAGATAGGCCAATAGGCTTGCATGACAGATAGATAGCTTTGACATATAGCCAGCTTATACACGTAGATAGCTTTCGGATTTCGTGGCAGGCGCAGCACTTTCGCAAGCACTCTCTGCGAGCTGGGGGATGGCAAGATGCAGAAAACGTTGGCGCTGTGCGTGAATTGGGCTTCCGGACTGTGCGCAAACCACCTCGGCTGCGACGCCTGTACGGACGGTCTCGGAACGGTCTCGGAACGGTCTCGGAACGGTTCGGAACGGGTTCGGAGACGGGCCCATTGGCACGGCCGCGCGAAGGTTTCGCAAGGTTTGAATTGCGTGGCAGGCGCAGCACTTTCGCAAGGTCAAGTATAGATTTCGTGGCAGGCGCAGCACTTTCGCAAGGTCAAGTATAGATTTCGTGGCAGGCGCAGCACTTTCGCAAGGTCAAGTATCGATTTCGTGGCAGGCGCAGCACTTTCGCAAGGTGCTGCGTCCACTCTCTGCGAGCTGGGGGATGGCAAGATGCAGAAAACGTTGGCGCTGTGCGTGAATTGGGCTTCCGGACTGTGCGCAAACCACCTCGGCTGCGACGCCTGTACGGAGGCGGTCTCGGAACGGTCTCGGAACGGTCTCGGAACGGTCTCGGAACGGTCTCGGAGACGGGCCCATTGGCACGGCCGCGCGAAGGTTTTGCAAGGTTTGAATTGCGTGGCAGGCGCAGCACTTTCGCAAGGTCAAGTATAGATTTCGTGGCAGGCGCAGCACTTTCGCAAGGTCAAGTATAGATTTCGTGGCAGGCGCAGCACTTTCGCAAGGTCAAGTATCGATTTCGTGGCAGGCGCAGCACTTTCGCAAGGTGCTGCGTCCACTCTCTGCGAGCTGGGGGATGGCAAGATGCAGAAAACGTTGGCGCTGTGCGTGAATTGGGCTTCCGGACAGTGCGCAAACCACCTCGGCTGCGACGCCTGTACGGAGGCGGTCTCGGAACGGTCTCGGAACGGTCTCGGAACGGTCTCGGAACGGTCTCGGAGACGGGCCCATTGGCACGGCCGCGCGAAGGTTTCGCAAGGTTTGAATTGCGTGGCAGGCGCAGCACTTTCGCAAGGTCAAGTATAGATTTCGTGGCAGGCGCAGCACTTTCGCAAGGTCAAGTATCGATTTCGTGGCAGGCGCAGCACTTTCGCAAGGTCAAGTACAAAATTCGTGGCAGGCGCATCACTTTCGCAAGGTCAAGTACAGAATTTGTGGCAGGTGCAGCACTTTCGCAAGGTCAAGTGCAAAATTCGTGGCACGCGCAGCACTTTCGCAAGGTCAAGTACAGATTTTGTGGCAGGCGCAGCACTTTAGCAAGGTCAAGCACAGATTTGGTGGCAGGCGCAGCATTTTTGCAAGGTCAACTTTCGCAGCCGGGGCTCGAAAATCGCAACTTTTAAGTACGAAAGTAGTACGCGAAGTCAACTTTCGCAGCTGGGGCTTGAAAATCGCAACTTTTAAGTACGAAAGTAGTGCGCAAAGTCCACTTTCGCAGCCGGGGCTTGAAAATCGCAACTTTTAAGTACGAAAGTAGTACGCAAAGTCCACTTTCGCAGCTGGGGCTCGAAAATCGCGACTTTTTAGTACGAAAGTAGTACGCGAAGTCCACTTTCGTAGCTGGGGCTCGAAAATCGCAACTTTTAACTACGAAAGTAGTACGTGAAGTCCAGTTTCGCAGCTGGGGCTCGAAAATCGCAACTTTTAAGTACGAAAGTAGTACGCGAAGTCAACTTTCGGGGATTGAACATCGCAACTTTTAAGTGCAGAGAAAGATGGGTAGATAGATAGATCAATAAACAGATATAGAGATAGCTAGAGAAATAGATAGAAAGAGATAGAGAAACAGAGATAGACAGAGATAGATAGATTTGTAGATAGATAGACAAATAACTAGCTAGATAGATAAAGAGATAGAGAGATAAATAAATAGAGAGGTAGATAGATAGATAGGAGATAGATAGATAGGTAGATCTATAGATAAATCGCAACTTTTAAGTACGAAAGTAGTACGCGAAGTCAACTTTCGCAGCTGGGGCTTGAAAATCGCAACTTTTAAGTACGAAAGTAGTGCGCAAAGTCCACTTTCGCAGCCGGGGCTTGAAAATCGCAACTTTTAAGTACGAAAGTAGTACGCAAAGCTGGGGCTCGAAAATCGCGACTTTTTAGTACGAAAGTAGTACGCGAAGTCCACTTTCGTAGCTGGGGCTCGAAAATCGCGACTTTTTAGTACGAAAGTAGTACGCGAAGTCCACTTTCGTAGCTGGGGCTCGAAAATCGCAACTTTTAACTACGAAAGTAGTACGCGAAGTCAACTTTCGGGGATTGAACATCGCAACTTTTAAGTGCAGAGAAAGATGGGTAGATAGATAGATCAATAAACAGATATAGAGATAGCTAGAGAGATAGATAGAAAGAGAGAGAAAGAGACAGAGAAACAGAAAGAGAAAGAGAAAGAGAGAAAGAGAGAAAGAGAGAAAGAGAGAAAAAGAGAGAGAGAGAGAGAGAGAGAAGCAAGGGGCCAAGGACAGTTCTCCAAACTATAGTTGTTCACTGCTTTGAAACTTCCGCCCCCCGGCTCTGCCGGACCTTACTTGTACGGAAACTATTGAAAGGTAGCTTGCGCTGATAGATAGCTTCAGAAGATTAGACAGCGCATGCGAAAATATAGAGGATCAGACAGGGCGTGTGAAAAGAAAGCGTACGCAGATAGCTTGTGCGCAGATAACATGCAGAATGAACTCACGCGGGAAAACATGCGTGGGCGTGTGGCGGGATAATAGAAACCGCACACAAGAGTGACCCTCTGCGGGTTTTGGCAGGTCTGCCTCGATGTCAACCACCTCTGCCTCGACGCCGCCTGTCCGGTCCTGCACTGCGTTGCAGGGCGCGCGCTTGCAACGCGCAATTCGCGGCGGCGCAATCTGGCGTGCAGCGCGAAACGCAAATGCGCGCAACGTGCATGGCGCTCTGGCAAAGAGATTGCATTGCTAAGTTGCAAGCGCAAGCGGGTTCCACGCCGGGCCCATCGGCGCGGCAACCAAGAGGCTTGGATTGCGTGGCAGGCGCAACACTTTTGCAAGGTCGGGTACAGATTTCGTGGCAGGCGCTGCACCTTTCGCAAGTTCAGCGACAGATATCGTAGTTGGCGCCGCGTTTTTGCAAGGCCAGGTGCAGATTTCGCGGCAGGCGCATCGCTTTCGCCGGCTCGGGATTGGGCGATAGGAAGACGGATGGATAGCAAGATAGATAGATAGATGGACAGATAGACAGATAGCGAGAGAGAGAGAGAGAGAGAAAGAGGGAGAGAGATGGATGGATAGAGATGAAGAGAGACATAAAGAGATAGGTAGATAGGTAGACAGATAGATAGTTACACACCGGCTTCGCCGGCTCCATGATGCATGGACGCACACAACCCAACTGAAATGGAAACTAACAGGCCGTTGCAAACTGAGTGTTGTGTTGCCACGTCCTTGGGAGGGCAACAATATTAGGTGTTGGTCGGGCACTGGTGGTTCAAATATGTTTGCTGCTGCCTCTTGTAAAGAAGATCCCCAACAAAGGCTGTTTTTCCATGGCAATCAGAAGGAGCGCTTCGTTTCAGGGTTTCCTTTGCAAAACCACCAGACGGAGGTGGTTTGTTTCTGACACAAGGCAGCCGTGGTTTTCCTTTTGTGCCCAGCAAAACGGGGTTTCGCGCTGTGGTTTGGAGCCTGGTGGTTTGGAGGTTCGATTCGGGGTGGTGTTCGAACCAGGGGCTTTTAACTCGGACCACCCATCCAGGCCAACCAATGGGTAAAGTGAGAAGCCTCCCTTCTGCACACAACAGTTATGACGTGTATGCAGAGACAAGAAGTAGGGTTCAAATCCTAATCCACGCAACCAATCTATTCATATAAACGGCCACTTCGGGGTAAACTGAACCACTGGGGTTTGCCAGTAGCACAATTTCCGTCCACGGCAAGTCCACTCAAAGTCACCCGCGATTTTTTCGTGGCCCTTTAATGGCATCCATGCTTGGGTTCAGAAGCTGTGCAGATGTTCAGCGAAACTTTCACTGCTTCAAGCGGCAATGCCTAGCTGGCTAAACAAGTTCTGATGACACATGTATGCATTCAAAACCTTCACCCTCTACGCTCCCAAGTCAGGCACTGCGACACACATGTGACGATGGAATAGTCTTCGCGTGGGCTGAGACAGAACATGTCTTGATACTCGTCCTATGAAAAACATGTAACATGTTAGTGCACCACAGCACGTTGACTTCACCAGCGAGACATGGCTGATGCGCTACTCGGAGAAGGAGAACGGAAGACAATGCCAGGGACACACTTGATACATGATATGCCCTCAGCACCATGAAGGGTCAACCCCGTCGAGATCATGTCCTCCTTCTCCCATGGTTGTCTGGGTGTGTGTGTGTGTATATATATATATATGTATATGTGTCTGTGTGTCTGTGTGTCTGTGTGTCTGTGTGTCTGTGTGTCTGTGTGTGTGCGCCCCTAATTTCGACAGCCCCCCCTCCAAATCAAGTTCGAGGCGGCGATTTCTCGGATGCCAAAGCGTGTTTCGCAGGACTGGAGCCGCAAGAGCGGCAAGACCCCGAGCTCGAACACAGGGCCGAGCAGCGCACAGCAGGGCACCCACTACGCCCCGAGTCCGATTTGGTGCGAAGGCCACCATCAAAACCCGGGGGTAAGGTACAACCCCAAAGATAAAAATGGCGCGGATGCCCAGTTTTGATTCCGACTCGAGCGGCGAGCCATTCCCTTTGAAAGCCTTGCTGCCTTCTCGAGTCTTCCACAATATGTGAAATATAGACGAAATTCTGTGCGTGGACGAAATATAGACGAAGTCTCCGTCTCGAACCAGCAGGTTTTCTTGAAGTCTGGGCTTGCAAAAACCCAAACAAGGTACCCTACTATGGATGGACGAAATCCGTTCGCACCACTTTGCAACTAGGTCCCCCAGTAGTGCCCTTTCACCCTTTTTTGGGGGAGGCGTCCCCTACTAAAATAGACGAATCAGAAGAAGAAACGGTCCCCTTATTCTATCCTCCCTAGGAAACCATGGTTGAAACCATCTGGTGTTGGTATTGGGGAATCATCCCCCCAGGGTCTCTCTCTTAGGCGGTGGATGTCGTCAGTCCACATGGGATTTTCCGTTGGCCCCTTCTGTGGTTGCCAAGAGAGGCGTTTTTTGGGGCGAGGTTTGGCCGGTAGATTGGTGTCGGCCAATAGGTCGTTTTTTTTTCCCATTGGTGAACACACATTCGGTTGGTCCACACCTGTAATACAAGGGGATAACTAGTTACATACGTCTTGTGCCTATGATCATGACGGAATTTGGTTTGGCAGCAGCCCACACACCAGTTTTTTTAGACCTGAGTAACATCGGATTAATCTGGATGACAAGGAACAGCGGAATCCATCCAGAAATGACTTCATTGTTCACTCAAAGGGAGGGAGCTAGTTCTGATCCTTGCTTCCTTGTGGCTTCCCTCGAAGCACTTTCACGACTTACTCTTGACATGGGTTTGTCCGAAAAAGGAACGCACCCCAAGCATTCAGAAGCAAACCGAAAACGCAAGGCAGCTGGGCAGATTGATGAAAGGGGGATCCACTAAATTGTTTCCAAGTCGGGCCTTAAAAAGAAATCTCCCCAAACGTGTTTTGCTTGCTGGTTCTCAGTAGGGAATGAGGGAATGACCCGAACAAAAACAACTCCCTATGGTTTTCTTTACGGGAATCCTTTTCCGGTTCATCCGAACACCTCGACTCGGTCATTCTCTACCTATCGCACCAGCAAGTTTCGGGGACTGAACTTTTTCTCTAAGGACTCAGTCTTGGACCGTTGAGAGGGAATAGGGAAGCGGCACATTGTTTCGCTAGTTCCAAGGGCATTTTCAGGTAATGGGCTTATCCTACGTATACAAGCGGCATATGCTGCCTGGCTTTTCTTTGTGTACTAGTGCGCCTGGCGGTTCAACCAGCGGCGAATCGTTGGGTTGTTCTTTCACCTGCATGTGATTTTACTTTTCACAGAGCATCAGAAAGCGGACAGGTCAGTGTAGAAGCTGTTTTTTCCTGCAAAACCCACACCTGAAAGCGGTGTCAACGTGGGCGAGCTGCTCGTAAAGACGGCGGAAGGGACCTGGGGGTCAATGTTCTTCCTTTGGGCTGCTTTAACGGTCCAGCTTTCGGGCATTTGGGGGTTGATCAATAGGTCCTTTACATGGGATTACCAGGGAGACCACCAAACAAGATGACTGTCACCACTAAATGGGAAGAGTTGCCAATGCTCATTTGAGGGGGTTGGGTTTTCCCTCTTCGTGCATTGCCTTTCCAGTTCTATACCCTTTGGGTGAGGTGATGCATGTTGAAAGATGCAACTGCCTTTTCGGCAAGGAAACGCATCCTTTTGGGCGCCGGGAACCGACACCATACCCAGGACCAAAAAGGTAGGAGTCGGCAATCCTGCGGTTCCAACTTCTGTCAGAGACTATGTTGGCGGCCAGGAAGTTGTTTTGTCTTCTCTGAGTGCAGGGTTCGATCGCCCGTAGGGTTTCAGGTAACCCTTGCGGCAATTGGTGGTTCAGATTGGTGGCTTGGGGATTTTGAACCCCTTGTTCTTATAGAGGGTACATGCCAACAGGCTTCGAACCGCCAATTAGAGCGACGCTGATCACTCTTTTTCACAACTGGGGAGAAAACTGAAACGCGGAAAACAAAAACAAAAAACGGGGCTGTCCAAACCGATCCCCACCAAAATTGTGACTTTTCGAGGGTTCCTTCTTGTGATTAGCCCGAGGCTCCGATCGGCTTCGGCTTTCAATGGAAGACCCGACCCCGAAGCATTCGACACCCCACAGGTGATATGGCCGTGGGTCAAAACCCCGTACCCCCAATGAACATCCAATCCCCACTAAAATCCCGATTCAAATGGGTGGTGAATTCACCTACCAACCAAAATGGGATCCCATTGGTTTTGACAACCACAGCCATATCCGGTGACCCCGGCTTTCCACGCTTTGAGCCTCGGGGTGTCCGAGGTTTACACCGAAGCGAGCGGCAGCAATAAGAACAAGGCGCGCGTCTGCGCGCGTGTCTTCGCGCCTGGCGAAGACGATTTGGCGGGTCAAAAATGTTTGTACCCAAAAATTTGGGTTGCCCTGGAAAATGGGGACCCAAAGACTAAAAACCTGCGGTTTTTGGTAATTTTATTTTGACCCATACCCATTTCCCTGCGAATGCTTGGTTTGATGTGGGTGTAACTCGAAAAGTGATAGACCACTTTTGGGTGCTGGAGGGGAAGCAACCGGACACCTCTCGTTGCCGTTTTAGGGAGTACTTTGAGACACCCCGTAGGTTTCCTCTTGAAATTCTCGAGTTTTCGGCGGGAAACAAAACCCGAGGGCTCAAGCTGGGGTTTGGGGAGTGGAAACTCAGAATGTGTTCTAAGGCAGCAGTTGGCAACTGACGCAACTGGTGAGGATACGAAAACAGCCCTGATGCGGCTAGCAGCGAAAAAGGACCCCTTTAGGTGTCCAAGTGCGACAGTGGACAGATAGACTGGTGTGGCTTTTTGAGGGATCGGAGGTTTCCCGTTAAAACCACCACTAAAGCGGCACCTCTGAAAAACCGACACCCAGATGGGACTGGTAGCTAGTCAGGACCAAACCCGAACCAGTCCCATCCAATTTCACTGACTAGATGGGCAGCAGGTTGAACACGAAGTGGAAGCCGTCAATTTAGACTTGGGTAAGTGCCACCACAGGAGACGTCCGTTTGAGAAAGCACGTAGAAACATGGTCAAAGGGGTCATTTTGGTTTCCAATTCCCAACAACCATGTCTACCCCTATACATGTTTTTCAGGTTGTGACATCGACGACTGCCTAACTGGAGGGTCTCCTCCCAAACTAACTGATTTGGGGGTGGCTCAAAATCTAAAAGCCAGGGGGCCGCACTGTTTTGTCAACTTTTCCCATTTTGGGCCCCTATTTCTATGTCTTTCAGTGTAACCCAAGAAGTTCGAGAACGTGTCCGTGGCCAAACGGTGTTTTGTTTACCACCAATTGGATTGCTCAACATGCATTTTATTTTTCTTCTTCTTCCGTTTTTTTTTTTTTTTTGTTTTTTTTTTTTTTTTTTGTATTTTTGGTTTAGGGGACCCCTATTGTGAGCAGACAACATCCTGCACCACCTAAGAAGCCCTGGAATGATGATTCCCCTGTAAATAGGTTCAAACAGTTGCAAACGCATTTCGTCCATCGACAGTATTAGGGGGCCCCTATTTTGCGCTCAGCTCGAAACCTTTTTTTAAGTGACTGGAAGTCGCGAGGACTTCATGCTGGAGAGCGCGGACTTTGTGCTGACGACTCCATTGACGATTTCCTTCTATTATCACATGAAGGCGCGCAGCGGGGGTCTTTTGTTCTGGCTCCTTTTACGCCAGTTTGATCACTTTTTCTGGCCTTCCCTCAAGTAGTTCTCAGCTCACTCAACAATCTCTCCTCTCCAAATTTGGGTAACTTCCATTTGGATAAGAATATGTCCTGTTGGTTTGAAAAGGAATATATCACTACTGGACCTATTTGTTGTTCCAGGGGCCTTAAGGAAATGGAGACTCACCCCATTTTCCTGGCCCCATGGGTAAAACACCAACCCCAGCTAAGAAGACCTCCTTACCCAGTTTCGGACCAGGTAGGAGCCGCCTTTCAGCAGACACATGATCCCAGTTTGGGCAGCCCGTTTTTGTCGGCTGATTTGGTGCTTTGAAGCCGAAGCGGGTCTTGGAGGTGTGGTTGGGTGGGGTGAGTCCGACTCTCAAAAACCAGAGGTTTCAATCCAAAACAACAACTCAGTTGTCCAAAGCGAATCGACCTTTTGACAACTCTTGTTTTCCCATCTTGGTCCATTTTTAGCAGAGGTGCCGAAAGGTTAACCTTTTAGTTCTGGGTCCTTTGGGCAACTGAGACAACCACCGAGCAAGGAGAAGCTGATTGTGGCAAGACAGGGTTGGATTGAAGGTGCGCGCACAATGCCGGCATCGTTTCGGTCGCGCAACATGTCGGCTGCGCGGGCTCACACAAAGAGTCGGGGAACGCGCGGGTGTGTTTCGGGTACGCTGTCGCTGTGGTGCATGGTGGTTTGGCGCACCCTTTGCGGGGTTTGGGTGCGTTGGAGTGCCCGCGCTGTGGGGAGCGAAGTTTTAACGTGGAGGCTAACTGCTCAGGGACTTTGTCGGGCCGCTCCCTTTGCTGCGCTGCATGAGCGTCTAGCAGGTTGAGTGGACCCTCTGTGCACTTTGGGTGCGTCAGGTCGCACTGACACTGCGCAGCAGTGTGCGTGCCTAACATGCAAAGTGAACCCTCTGCGGGCTTTGGGTGTGACGGATCGCTCTCGCTGCTGCGCGGTGTGAGTTTCCAACACTCAGAGGGACCCCCTTTACATTTGCAGTTTGGGGGTGTCGGATCGCTCTCGTGTGGGGGGGAGTGTAAGTCTCAATCATTGAGAGAGCCTTCTGAAGACGTTGTCTGCGTTGGATCGCTCCATGGTGCGGCGCGGATTTGGAACATTGTTTATCGAAGCAAAGATCCTCTGTAAAGCCCATTTGACTTAGATCCGCTACACTTGGGTCGTCTTACAAGTCCTTCCTCTGTCAGAGCTGTTGCACATGATCTTTCAGAAAGAATCCTGGCACAGGCTCGCGTTGGACCTTGTATAGAGCTCTTTCAACCAGATCTTGTAGCCTCCCAAGAGGCTGTTGCGCAGATCCTTGCAAGAGGTCCTGCAAGGAGATTTTGCACAGGACCACAATACGAGTGTCTTCTAAGGATACGTACCATCAGAAGAGATTTTGGAGAAAACCTTATTCTTTTCCAAGAGCTGTTGCGCATGATCTTCCAGCGAGACATATTGCGCAGAGCATAGCGTGGACCATGTGTAGAGCTCTTGCAACCAGATCTTGTGGAGGGCAGTCAGCCGAGATCCTCCCAAGACGCCAAGAGACTTTGCACGCTGGCTCTGCCTTCAAACCCTCGGAGAAGACCTTGCGCAGGATCTGCCAACCGTGTGTCGAGATCCTGCCAAGAGACCTTGTGCAAAGATCCTTCTTAGACACCTTGCAAAGCGATATCGCGCAGGACATCATGCGTACCTTTGTAAGATCTCCTCGAAAATGACCTCTCCTACTGGACCTTCTGAATCGAGCTTCTGGAAAGACCTCCTGCGCAGAACCTGCATGTCCCTCTTTGAGCCCCTTTGAGGTCCCTGGCGTGTGTAGTGTGTACAAATGTTTTGGTTAACCAAATTCGGTAAAGCCCCAGCATCCCCTCTTTCTCTTTTCTTCGCTCGTGTGTTTCCAGGGAAGCAGCATTGGGGACCTGAAGCTGGAGTACCTGAGTGGTGCCACCTGGACCACCGCCTCTTGGCTCCAAAAACCCAAAAGGCTCGTTGGGTCGTCAAACAATTGTTCAATCACATCTTCACTGTTCTTGGCATGTTTTTTAGTTTTTTGGTTCTGTTCATTTTTACTGGGTCTGCAAAAAACAAAGTTTTTTGCTACCATACCAAGAGTAGAGATGACATCCAGGTCTCTCGGCTTTGAAACCCCTTCTGGGGTTTCATCTTCCGCCGAACCCAGCGGGTCTACAGGTCACAAAAAGAAGTGCCCCCCAAGAATGGTGATCCCCAAGAAAGGGCGGTTCGTCAGCTCCAACAAGGGTTGCAGAAGCAGAACCAGCATTTTGTTGAGGGCAATACCGATGGCACTCCATCGATTGGATGGGTGTTGCAAGGTCACTTGTTTGAGCAGGGCCCCTAGGTGAAAAACCACAAATGGGATGTGTTGGTTTGGCTTCTCAGACGGCACGAAGAGATGTGACACATGGCCCTTAAGTCTTAAGACTTCTGTACCCCCGAAAAAAGGCAGCGCTCGTCCCGGCTTGAGACTTTGTAACCCCGTCGTTTGGGGTCCACCAAAAAAGACACCAAGTCAGGTAGGTGTCCTCCTTCATTGATTCATGTCACGTTGCCCGGTCTCCATGCAAAAGCTGCCCAGCGAACACTCTCTTGACTCTGGTGGTGTGTTGTTGGCGAACTTGCCAGAACCATTTGCTGTCAGAAGAACATGCCATCGCTGACGCAATATGAAGCCCCAATGCTGTCCTGAAGCGTGCGCGCGCTATCGGCGCCCAGAGAGTAAGCCAAACAGCTTCGGGTGACTCAGGAAGAACGGGTGCCAACTCCGAAAATAGACGCCGCATATTTCTTTGGGGTTTGGTTTGGGACACTGTGAGTGCTTGGTGTTCGGGCAAGTTGGTCAGTTGTTGGCAACCATTCGGATGTAACCCTTTTAAGTCCCGGTGACTGTGGATTAACCTTGCTGTAAATGGGGTATACCCCAAATGGCGATCCCCAAACATCTGATGTTTTCCGTAAAATGTGTGTTGTATTTTCTAGAACTGAAACATTACCAAACAATTGTATTCATTGTTCAGGTTCAAACGTTTTTTGTCAAATTTGTGTTAAGAATGTGCAAAGAGCATTGAATTACTTCAGAAATGTCTTTGACTCAAGACAGTAATCTTGAAAAATGCTTGATTCAGGAACCATCGGAGTTATGATTTATGACATATTTGTCATTTTTCACTAATTTGTTAATAATTGCAACACACGTGGAAGTCAGTCTGACATATATATATATATATACATATACATATATATAAACCCCTGGTTTCTGGGTATTTCACCGTGAATTCTGGGAACTCAGCCCCCCCGAAAGGACATCTGTGCTCTTTTTCTTCCAGGGGATCCCCCCAAGACCGAAAAAACCGAGGCCAGGAATGGGCCTTATAAGAGTCGCTCTTCGCCCTCTATTTTTTTTTTCATTTTTGCGGGGGGGGGGGGGGGGGGGGGCTTGCGGGCGCTTGTGCTTTTGGGCGCTTGTGGGCGCTTGTGGGCGCTTGTGGGCGCTCTTGCTGGGCTTGTGGGCGCTTTTGCTGCGCTTGTGGGCGCTTTTGCTTTTTGCTGGATGTGGGCCCTTTGAGTGGTAAAAAAGCCCGAGATCCAGACGTTTC